AAATGTTTTGTGATTAATCTTATCACTGACAAGATTGTTTTGCAGGGAAAAAGAGTTAACAATATTTACATTGTAGATTTGTCCACTCTTTCAGAAAATGAACTCACTTGCTTGAGCGTGTTGGACAATGATCCCCTCCTGTGGCACAAAAGACTTGGTCATGCAAGTCTAAATCAACTCAACAAATTAGTCTCCAAGGACCTGGTGATAGGGTTACCTAACATCAAGTTCAAGGAAGACAAAGTTTGTGAGGCTTGTGCAAGGGGGAAGCAGGTAAGATCCTCTTTTAAAAGCAAGAAAGTGGTAAGCACGACCAGGATGATGGAACTGGTTCATATGGATCTCTGTGGTCCAATGAGAACATTGAGCAGAGGTGGTAAGAAATATGTGATGGTACTTGTTGATGATTACTCTAGGTTTACTTGGGTATTGTTTTTAACATCTAAGGATGAAGCATTTGACATGTTTTCTGCCTTTGTTAGAAAACTCAGAAATAACTAGGTTATCAACTTGCATCAATTAGGTCTGATCATGGAACTGAATTTGAAAATGTTAGGTTTGCTGAATTTTGTGATGAGCATGGTATAGATCATAATTTCTCTGCACCTAGGACTCCTCAACAAAATGGAGTAGTTGAAAGAAAGAATATGACTCTTGAAGATATGGCTAGGACTATGCTTCTTTCTAGTAAACTGCCCCATAGCTTCTGGGCAGAGGCTGTAAATACTGTATGTTACATCATTAATAGGTGTATGACTAGACCTCTTGTAGAGAAGACTCCCTATGAGTTACTTAAAGGGAGAAAACCAAATATATGCCATCTTAGGGCATTTGGATGCAAGTGTTTTGTGCACAATAATGGAAAGGACTCCCTAGGTAAGTTTACTTCCAGAAGTGATGAGGGAGTATTCTTGGGATATGCTTCACATAGCAAAGCTTATAAAGTGTACAACAACAGAACTTTGTGTGTAGAAGAAAGTGTACATGTAGTTTTTGATGAAACTAACATTCTTTCTGAGAGTCAGGAACATGAAGATGAAGCTATTGGGCTGGTAAAAGAATTGAGTGAAGCTGCAGCTGAAGATGGACTAGTTGATGGAACAGGTTCTTCCATCCGGGGCAACCTGACAGGGGGAACTGGATAAAGAAGAAGTGAATCTAATTCCAAAATGGAACCTGTTCATGAGCCTGTTCCTCAGCAACAGAACATGGGAGAAACTCCAAACAGAAATCAGTTGGTTGTGAAACCTTACAAGTATCAAATTTCTCATCCCATTGAGAACATCCTTACTGATCCAACTTTTGGAGTTAAAACTAGATTTCAATTAAAGAATCTGTGTGCTTTTGATGCATTCTTATCTCGTATTAAACCTAAAAGTGTTGCTGAAGCTTTGCAGGATGCAGACTGGATGAATGCAATGCAAGATGAACTAAATCAGTTTGAAAGAAGTCAAGTGTGGCATCTGGTCACAAGACCCAAGGACATATCAGTCATTGGCATAAATGGGTTTTCAGAAACAAGCTTGATGAAGATGGAACGGTTACAAGGAACAAGGCAAGGTTGGTGGTCCAATGTTATAGCCAAGAGGAAGGCATAGATTATGATGAGACCTTTGCTCTAGTTGCAAGACTGGAGGCAATAAGACTCCTCATAGCTTTGCAGCTCACATGGAATTTACTCTTCACCAAATGGACGCGAAGAGTGCCTTCCTTAATAGCTACTTAAAAGAAGAAGTCTTTGTCAAACAACCTCCAGGGTTTGGAAGTAAAGAGTGTCTAGATCATGCATACAAACTGGACAAGGCCCTATATGGACTGAAGCAGGCTCCTAGAGCATGGTATGAACACCTATCCAAATTCCTGCTTGAACATGGATATAAAAGAGGTAAGATTGACAGCACTCTATTCTTGAGGGAAAAAGGTAAGGATCTACTAGTAGAACAAATATATGTTGATAACATAATTTTTGGGGCAACCAGTGAAAAACTTAGTAAGGAATTTGCTAAATTAATGGGGAGTGAATTTGAAATGAGTATGATGGGTGAACTTAACTTTTTCTTAGGCTTACAGATCAAACAAAACCCAAATGGAACCATGATCCATCAGCAGAAATATGCAAAAGAGTTGATTAAAAAGTTTAAAATGGATGAATCAAAGGAAATAGACACACCCATTGCAACAGCTACAAAATTAGACATAGATGAACCTGGTTCATCTGTTGATCAGAAGTTATATAGGGGTATGATTGGTTCACTTTTGTATCTTACTGCTAGCAGACCTGACATTGTTTTCAGTGTAGGACTTTGTGCTCGTTTTCAGGCAAATCCTAAGGAATCCCACTTGACTGCTGTCAAGAGGATACTGAGATATTTGAAAGGCACTACTGACCTTTGCCTTTGGTACACTAAAGGTAGTAACTTTAATATAGTAGGATATGTTGATGCTGACTATGCAGGTTTCCTTATGGATAGGAAAATCACCTCAGGTATGGCTCATTTTCTTGGTTCATGTCTGATATCATGGGCCACTAAAAAGCAGAATTCAATGGCTCTATCCACTGCTGAGGCTAAATATGTTGCTGCTGCCTCTTATTGTGCTCAACTGCTGTGGATCAAACAACAGCTGATGGATTTTGGCATTGAAGTTGGTTGCATCCCTATCTTTTGTGATAACACTAGTGCTATTAGTATGACTAAGAACCCAGTTCATCATAAGAGGACTAAGCACATAGATGTTAGACATCACTTCTTAAGGGACAACTATGAGAAAGGATTGATTACTATAGAATTCTGTGCTACTGATAAGCAAATTGCTGACATCTTGACTAAAGCACTGAGTAGAGAAAGCTTTGAAAGGAACATGTTAGAATTAGGGATGATTAAGATCACCTAATGGGACTAGCTCAGAATGCACAATGAAAGAAAAAGAAAAATTGTTTTTGACTAGGAAATCTGGAACTTGTGTAAATATCTAGATTAATTTTTACTCAGTTTCATACAGTAAATAGTATACTCCTGTGACATGTGTTGATATGACTCACTGATCTCTAACAAATTTTTCTCTATTTTGTTAAATTGAGGCATGATCAAGAGAATTCTAAATGTAGAACCTGGTTCATCAGTACTGGTAATCTGAATAACGAGGTATGTTTTCTATACTCTGCACAATTAAAAATATAAATATTTAAACCATGAGCAGAGTCTTATCTATGTTCAAAAACATCAAAACATCCTATCCGTTTATTTTTTGAACCAGTTCCGTCTCTACTTGAGTTCTCACCACATAAAATGCCTAAAATCTAGGGAAGCTTAACCGTTCATTCAACCTGAAATTTCAGGTTGATTAGAACTCTAATTGACTGCTAAAAGCTACCGTTAGTCATTAAATAGGTTTCTTTCTTTAAATACTCATCATCACCCTTTTCCACCCTCATTATTTCAAACCGTCAAAAATCTATTTCACTCTCAATTGTTCTCTCTTCCAAAAGCCTAACTCACAAACTCTCTCAAGAAATTAGTTACAATGTCGAACCCTCAAGGTAACCCAGGCACTCCTCCACAACCTACTCCCTCTGATTCATCCACACCTCCTCCACCCAGCACAACCCCTCAACCTAGGAGAAGGCGAGTAAAAATGCTTGCTCGTAAAACAGTGGCAACTGGTGCTCTTTCAAAGAAATTGAACAAGAAATTGAAGTCAAGCTAAGCCCAAGATTCTGAGAACTCAGACGATTCGTTCAAATCTGCGAGTGAGGGGGAAGGAACTGGGTCTTCTGACTCTGAGAAGGCTCAAAACTCCCCTTCTGAGGTACATTCTGCTTTGGCTGAAAATTTAGAAAATAGGTTTGTTTTGGTTGGGTCTGTCAGGAATGTGGAATTGCCTGAATTGGGAAGAAGAGGAGGTAAAAATAAAAATGAAAAAGAAAGACAGAGAGAGAGAGAGAGAGAGAGAGAGAGAGAGAGAGAGAGAGAGAGAGAGAGAGGGTGTATGTAGTGATGTGAGGGGAAAAGGGAAAGGAGTGGCTGGTTCTTCACCCACTTCTGAATTGATGTTACCAACTATATGTGGGGTTGATCATGCAACTACGGAAGAAAGTGGCAAGAAGTCAGGGGGAAGTGGTTCAGGGGAGGCTGTTGAAGGTTTGGTTAATCTATGTTCACAGGCAGATGAACCTGGTTCATCTGTTGAGGAGACCATACCAGACCTTCTGAAGAAAGTGGGTGCTAGCTATGATCCAAAAAAAAGGAGAACCCCAACACCAAATGCCCCCAGCACTACAAAACTTTCGAAGAAAAGAAAGGCTTCTTCCCCAACAACTGCTGAAATTCCCTTGCCAAAGGGGAGAGCCACAAGAAGTATGGTAAAACAGAGTGAGAGTGAGTTACAAAAGGCTTTGGCTGAAGTCAAGAAGAAGAGGATGGATAAAGGAAAAGCTAAGGTTGCAGAGCCTTCTGAGGCTGTTGATATTGAGGAGATGGAACAGGTCCATCAGGAGGAACATACAGCTGTGGAGGTTCAGACCCCCAAGCCCAAAAAGACCAAGACTTCTTCCAAGAAGTCTTCATCTGTGTCTAAGGCTGCTGAACATTCATTGGCCAAGAGGACAAGGTCTACAATGAAAAACAAACAAGTTAGAATTACTGAAGATGAGGAATGGAGTGGTGAGAAGAGAGTGAGTATAGTGGTGAACAAGACAAGATGGCCAAGTTTGCAAAATGAAAATTTTTGAAGGGAAGATTGCTGAAAGACTTGGTGGAACCAGGAATGGTTTGTTTGGTTGATGCACTAGCTGTTCAGGGCTGGAAGGACATGGTCCTTCAGATGGATGGAAGGCTAGCCAGGAATGAGATCATTGAATTCATGGAAAATGCAGAAGTCAAGGATGGCAGAGTCACCGGCCAAGTGAAAGGAGTTCAAGTGACCTTCGATGCAGAGAAGCTGGGAGAGATTCTTGACATCCCTGCTGAGGGATATGATGACTACACTAGGCAAAGATGGCCAAGTCTGGATTCCCTTCCTCCTGCCCTTAAAATCACTAGGAGATTCTGTGATTTTGAAGAAGTGAATGAGGCCAAGTTTGTGAACAAGAGTGAAATGAAGCCACAACATAAAGTCCTCTTTGCGTTTGTCAACAAGTACCTACTGCCTAGGCAAGAAAAAAGGCACATTGCTAACTATATGGACTTAGTTCTGATGGAGTGCCTTGAAAGTGGAAGGCAAATCAACTGGCCTGCATTCATCATCAAGCTACTGGAAAGGGTTATAAATGGCTCCAAGGCCCAAGCCACCCCCTATGGATTTATTCTGACTACTATTCTGGATCGGTGCAAGGTGCCTCTGAAGAAGTGGGAAATGGCCACAAGCAAGGACCATTTTGGCATTAATACTCTGATTGCTTGTGACTATCTAGTCAATGCTATTACCAATGAACCAGGTTCATCCAAGAAGACACCTGTCAACAGTAAAGTCAGGGCTCTAGTTCAGGAAAGCGGGGCCAAGGATGCTGAGATAGCTAGGCTGAAGGCTCGTTTAGCAGAGGTTGAATATGAGAGGGATGCTCTCAGAACTGAGCTCACCAAGGAAAATGAGAAGAATGATGGGATTCTTCAAAATATGCTGAACCTTCTCCAAGCCCAAAACCAACCCTCTAGCTCCCCCAAGCCTTAGGACTTCTAGCCTTCATCTCCTGAACCTGTTTAGTACCACCGGCGACCCAGATTAGGGATTTCTCTTTCTTTTTGCTCATGTTTTGAATATTTTTGCTTTCTGTTTGTGGATTGTGGTACAACATATCTTCTATCAATGATATCTACTATTTTTGCTCTTGTTGACTGTTAATATTTCCTTGATAGTTAAAATATGTTTGCCTAATTACTGATGATTGATCCATGATTGCACTTGCAGTTGCCCCAGTGGCCATGAATAATTGTTAAAATTCTGGGACTCACACTTTGTTTAGGCAACTTTTCGATGATGCGAAAAGGGGGAAGAGATATTGTGCTTTGTATATTCTGAATAAGTGATGTTTATAATCTAATGAACCTGGTCTTTGATGATAAGTAAATTGTTCTAACTTTGTATTGATGAATAAGTCGAGCTCTGACAGGGCCTAAGTGAATGAGAAGCACAGAGTTTGTCATCATCAAAAAGGGGGAATTTGTTGGCCCAAGTAAAGGTGAAGTTTTGAAGACTAACAAAGGAACTCAGACATGGACCAGGTCCATCTTGTGCATCACAATTGTGATTAACTCAAACATATGAGATGCACGTGAAGGAGATAAACCTAACTTATCAGAAGTGATATCTCCTGATCATGATCGAAAAGGTTGCATATTGGATAAGGAGAAAGACTCCTTACACAAAGAGGACACGATAAGAAAAGGATAGAGTTAGAGTATGAGATCAACTAGAACTCTTTCACCATGGAAGAGTAGCGTCTGTATCCTAGTCAATCTCTAATACCTAACTCCTTAAATATCAGTGTTGTTCTCTTTTACAGGTAATGCACACAAGCAGAAGTTAAACGTGAATTGAGAGCAAAATAGCAAGGCAATTTTGCAAGCAATTTATGTGTGATTCAAGCGTGCAATCCTGAAGCTACTTGAACTAGATAGAAGAACTAGTTCCAAGAGTCTGTCTTTTATTCTAGTTCAATTGTAGTAGGTGATTTTACATTGTACCTTTCAGCTTAATTGTATTAGGTACTTAGAGTTTTCAAGTTAGAGTTAACTTGAAGTTGTCTTAACAGTTGAGGTTGTGTGCCACAACGGGATTAGAGTTAATCATAGGTTTACAAAAGAGTTTTTGTAAATGCAGTTTTTGGATCAGTGATTTTAGTGGAGAGTTTGGAAAAATCCTACTGGAAGGTAGGTCGTGGTTTTTTCACCTTTTGAGCCAGGTGTTTTCCACGTAAAATCTCTGTGTTCTTTATTTTCTGTAGTTATTATTCCGCAACAGTAGTAGTTGGAACACATAGAAGAACCAGGTCCTTCTATAATCAGGTTAAGCGAAAATTGGGTACCACACAAATCACCCCCCCTCTTGTATGGTATTGACGTATAAAACATCAGTTTCGGACGTTCCCAGAGTTTGAGCAAGTCCGTGTTATGATTCTAAACTTGTTGGTACATTCGGGTGGGGCCTCGGGGGCCCTGAGCGTCAGTCGGACGAGGCCCGGACCAAGTTGAAAGTTTGAAGCAAGAGCTGAAGCTCCAGCTGCTGTCATAACTGCACCTGCAGTTGGTCAGCCACAGGGGCGGGCAACACCTCGCAGATGCGGCCCAAGGAGAGGAGCCCAGATTCCGCAGAAGTGGGACCGTAGGAGCAGGAGCCCGTCCGCAGAAGCTACCCCAGCCGGCCCAGCCAGTTCCGCAGAAGCGAAAACCTGGTCCGCAGAAGCGGATCCGCAGGTGCAAAAATTGATGGGGCAGTGCACTTTGTTTAATACGGGAATTAGGTATTTTTCTTCCATTCTTTACACATTTGGGCGATTGGGGAGCTCTCAAAGAGGGGAATTCGCTTAGCACTTTGAGGTAAGTAAATTCTACATAATGTGAGTTAAATACATAATTTATGGGTAGATTATAACATATAAATTCGTGAAAATCAAGGATTAGGTAAAAACTTAGGGTTTTGATAAAAATGAGATTTAACCACGAAATTTGTTACGGAATTTAGTAGAAATCATATATTTATGTTCCTAAGGTTATGGGTAACAACTTCCTTTAAAAATTTTCGGAATCCGAGTATGTGGGCCTAGGGTTGATTTTCAGGAATTTTGCAATTTAGGTTGGGTAATTGCTTAAATGGTGGAATTATGAACTTTTAAGCATAGATTGATTAGTTTATGTAACTAGTTTCGAGTTGTTTGGCGTCTAATTCGGAGGTTTGAGCGCGTTCTTGAACTGGGAAGTAGGCTTTGAGACGAGGTAAGTCTCCTTTCTAACCTTGTAAGATGGAATTAACCCCATAAGTGAATTAAATAAATGTTTTACCTATCTGTGGGGGCTACATACGCACGTGGTGACGAGAGTCCGTACGTAGCTACTATCATGTTATTGTCCGGGCAGTTTAGGACCTGTATCATGCTATATTTGAAATGCTTGCGTCCTTACTTGCTATTATTATCACTTGAGTCATGCTGGAAATTGATAAAATAATTATAGAAGGTTATACTCACTTGTCTGAGGATTTGTATGAAATACTTGACTGAAAATGGGAAATGTGTGCTTTCTTGAAAATAAATTTTTATTGTGTATCGGGCTGAGTGCCTCGTGTTACGCCCCGCAATATTACGTCGATATTACATCCCGCAATATTATATTACGACGATGTTGCACCCTGTAGTATTGTACGTTGAATTTGTCGTAAGAAAATTGACATCAGTCCAAGGAAAAGATTATTTGGGGATTATAAGGATCATAAGTGATGAGTAAATTCGTGAAGGTAAGAGGGTAAGTAAAATCGAAGAAAACAAATTTTGTCAAAGTTTGGCATTTTGGGATTACGGCCCGAGCTAAAATACCCGATATTTATGGACTGGTGCCATAAAAGGTACTACATCGCTATAATAGTAAGGTGTACAAGGTATATTAAAAGAGAATAGTATTTAATTAAGTTGAGATAATTTTTAAATTATACGGGCAATTAATTAATTACCGGGTAACAGGACATTACCCAATTAACCAATAAGTGGATAGGAATTACACGTGGCAAGAAGCCACAATTCAAGAAATGACTAAGGGTCTTATTTGGTTAGGTGGCTACCTAAGGACACTTGGAATTATGTAGGAAAAGACTTAATTTCCAAGTCTTATCCATTTCATTCTTGGACAAAGACAAAAAACGTTTCTGACCAAACAACTAAAACAAATGTTTGGTTAATTCATTCCAAGTTCAGATGCTTCATTAAGCAAAAGCATTTATAATTTCTAATGAAATTGCTTCTTGGAATTCCTTGTAAAAGGCCAACCAATCTGCCTTTGGCTTTAAAAGCCAAGAACGGTGAAAGCAGAAGCTTTTTAAATTCAAGCAAAAGCTTCAATTGAAGCAATTTTCGTCCAAATTTTGCCAAGATTTCAAGTGAGATTTCAAACCAAGAACATAGGAACATCTTTCCAAAACTTGAAGAATCAGAAACATTTTGCTTTTAAAATTTCAAACCAAGAACGTAGGAACAGAATCCACCAATTTCATTCCTCAAGTTCAAAGGCGCAGAAGTTTAAATCCAATTTTTGGGTTCTAAATTCAATCCATGAAGGTTTCCAACGGGATAATTATACGGAGTTGTTCCTACTCCAGGTATGTTAAGGCTATCCCTTCTTTCTTTTGGCATGATCCATACGATACGAACGAGACGTGCAAATGCACAAATTTCATAAATGACTCTATTCATAGAAGTATTAGAGATATTTATGTTCCTGAATTTCCACGTGTCGAAATATTTTATTATCTGTTCATGGGTCTCAGAAAAATATGAAAGTTGAGAAAAAAAAAATTTACGTTATGATATTGCTCAATGACAAAATGGTCTTATGAAATTCCGAAAAATTTTATTAACGTACTTTTCATGCATTGCATTCATGTGCATTGACCCATGACCAGATGACGTTATATACGCGTATATATGTAAATATATGTATATGGATTTGGAAAAGTTACGGCGTTATATACGCACCACCACCTGATCAGCTGGTATATGATGATGATGTTGCCCACAGTGGCTGAAATATGATTCAAACGGCATTATATATGCGTATATATGTATGTGTGTATATGTATATGGGATATGGGAAAGGTTATGGCGTTATATACGCACCACCACCTGATCAGCTGGTATACGATGATGATTTTGCACACAGTGGCCGATATGATATGATGGGATGCCCTCAGAGGCTGATGATATTGTGAAACATGTACCTACGCATAACATGACATTTATACGCATATGCATGACGCTAAAAGTAATTTATGATTTACAAAGTTATTCAGACTTACAGGTTGAGTCGTGTACTCTATATTTCCTCCATGTCTCTTATGTATTTATTTATGTGCCTTACATACTCGGTACATTATTCGTACTGACGTTCCTTTTGCTTGGGAACGCTGCGTTTCATGCCCGCAGGTCCCGATAGACATGTCGAGAGCCCTCCAAGTAGGCTATTAGCTCAGCGGAAGATGTTGGTGCGCTCCTTTGCTTCGGAGTTGCTCGTTTGGTTAGTATGATTTAGATGTGTATTGTTTGGTAAGGCGGGACTCTGTCCCGACCTTTATGATATTTATGTACTCTTAGAGGCTTGTAGACATATGTCGTGTACGTAAAAGATTGTACGGCCTGGTCGGCCTATATTTTAAGTTTATAAAGGATCATGTTGGCCTATTAGGCCCGTATGTCATGTGTATATGATGATATAATAAGAAATATACGTTACGTTGGTACTCGGTTGAGTAAGGTCTCGGGTGCCCGTCACAGCCCATCGGTTTGGGTCGTGACAAAAGTGGTATCAGAGCAGTTCTGTCCTAGGGAGTCTACAAGCCATGTCTAGTAGAGTCTTGTTTATGAGTGTGTCGTGCACCACACTTATAAGCAGGAGGCTACAGGGTATTTAGGATTATCACTCTTTCTTCTTACTCTAGATCGTGTGGTAGAGCTCACTTATAAGAATTCAAATTCCGAAATTCTTTTTTTTTTATCCGTAATAAGACGACACCTACATTCGGAAAGAAGGTTGGAAAGAGAGATAGTGGTGGAAGAGCTGAGTCAGAGGAATTGGATTTTTGTATGATGCCTACGATAAGTAAATGTGAGGTCTTTAGCAAATCATAGGTGTACTGAAAAGTGTAAGCTTCCCGATAAGAAGCCTTAAGGAAGGAATGCCTATTCATA